TATATATATATATATTATTAATTTATGTCTATTACTTCACATAGTGACATTTGGTGCAATCATTTTCAATCTATGATGGACAAATGTCATGTTTTTAAATTCGGATTCAAATCTAGTTTTAGCAATCGCATGACATGACATAATTTTGATTTGAAAGCTTCGAGGCTTTTGTCATTATAGATATTTAGTTTTAGATATATTTTATTTAATACCTATCGACTTAAATAAAATTTAGACTCGATTATTAATTTAAATATAATTGTTCAAACTTCTTCAATCTGGTCAATGCCTTTGCAGCGCAACCAACACATTTTTACTATAGCAAATTTACATACCTAGCACACAATTCCTATGTATTTTCTCTTACTTTTTATATATATATATATATATATAGCACTTGGTTTTTTATACTCATATATGAAATGTTGTATTTCACTTTTAAGTTCTATTAGTGATATCTTCATGTGATATTAAAAATTTAACTGCTATGGGTATAAGTATGAAAATAAATGCATAGGAACTATGTGCTATATATTTGAATGCCTCATTTGATTTTTATTTTAAGAATATTTACATATATCGATGCACGTAACTCATTTCCTATGTTTATGCATATCTAACGTATCATTGAAGTTTTATTATTCAAACGAAAAAAATATTTGCTCTCTTTAAGATTGTGCAGGTTAATTAGCTATTTACAAACATTTCGTTTGGAGACGATGAAGCAGTACTCGCAGATATAGTATTTAAATTAGTTGTATTTTATCAGACATAATAAGAAATAGCATGCTAGTATGGATCGACTGCTATGTAAAACTAAAAGTTTATGAAGTTAATACATTTCATAAATCTAATTAAAACATTATTTTTATTTTATTTTCTAAAAAAAAATTTGATATACAATGCATAATGTTTCGCATAAAATGTCACAACATCTAAGGTATATAATACATCATTGGTATTAAAAACAGATAGTCCAAATATCAATATTAGGTTTTTAAATTGAATTTTCGGTTTTACAGAATATTTCTATTAGAGGCCTATATATTTCACAGAATATTTCTATTATAGGCCTATATATATATATATATATATATATATATAGACACACAGATGAATCTCAAGGATAATTTTTTTTGAGCAAAAAAATATTTAAATTTTAATTAAAAGCAATCCAAAGCCTCGATTTCAGTGAACTTATAGTCAAACTGACAGGCTCGGCGAGAAGAACCCAATGGTGACAAAATTGGTCCAATTCGGACCAAATAAAGCATCGGTCAGGACATTAAACCATGTTTGAAAGTTTTTTTGAACACATTTGAAATGTCAAAAAGATTTTGAATTTGATGAGTACATAGTCAAATTGAGCGTCTCGATAAGAAGAATCTAACAAATCCAATATCACACAATCCCAATATCATTAAGACACTCAAATATTCCTCAAGTATCTTCTGATCAAAGGCAACTTTCTGGACCGTCATATCAAAATGTTTCATATTTCTTCATTAATTGCAACCGAGAACTCTAAAAATAGATCCCCACCCTTCTCATGAGGGAGGAGGGATGTTTGGGGCCTAAGGAGAAGAGCTTGAGACTTGAGGAAGTGTTTGAAGCTTTGAGGAGTTGAAGTCCAGCACCACCACCAATCACCGTCGACCACTGTTGACCGTCGTTGACCACTCGCCAACCAGCGTCAACCGCTGCCAACCCTCGCCGACCGTTATCACCACCATCGTCCATCGTCGACCACCACCTACCGGCCATCGCCAATCGCTATCGGTTGTCGTTTGTTTCTTACATTAAGTTATTTACATGTCGACATTATAACTTGAGAAATCTTGTAACTTTTTTTCCGCCTGTGAGATAAAAGATTGTACTTGTAATATTCATTCTATAATGAATTTTTTCAACTGGTAAGACCTCAAAAACTTCTGATGCCTCTACTCATAATTTTCTTTTATGTGAGTATGTGTTGAATCTTAGAGCAAAACTAAAACAACAATTCATTACTCTACTGACATGAATTTATAAGCCTAGGATCATAATATGGAGAGCAAAAAAATTTATAAGTACTCTAAATTAATGAAAAATTATAATAAATAAATGACTGAAGATATGTTATTTAAATACATTAATTTTCGTAGTTATTAATCGGTTCCATATTTAAAAAAAAATTATTTGAATTGAAAAGAATATTTCTTTCAATAAAAGCAAATATCTCAATCATTGAATCATTGTTATCATCTGACGTTCGAATTTATGACCTCATTACTAAAATTAACACTCTCAACCATTATGTTACTGATAACGAGGTAACTGTGTTATGGAGCAGGTCTTCACAATTAAAATGTTGCACCTCATTTCCGGTCATTATTCAAGTTTAAATCCTCAAAAGTTTGTAGAGGCATTTACGTGCATATCACCTAATTCTTATGTATTTACATATCTGACCCCTAATTTTACTTTAGCCTTTACACCACCCAAAATTTTTATATCACTGCAAAAATACCACCACTTTAGCTTTTTAAAGTAAAATAAACCTTTTCTAACCTATTTATGCAAAAAGGCTATTTCAAGTTCCGAGAATGATGAGAGTCGTTGTATCTTGTTTGGGGATGGTTTATTTTAATGAAATAAATGGTACCCAGCTAATTACATCTCAAGACGAACTGGCTGCCTATCAGGCAGCCTTTGACAACATGCATGGAGTATTGTTTGGATTTTTTATTTTTTTAATAATACAAAAATAATTTATGATAATGTATAAATTTTA